CCCCGCTCCCCCGCACCGGCGGAGAAGCGGCTGAGGAGGGGAACCTGCGCGGCATCGGCGCCCTCCGCATTGTGCGAGCCTGCATGGTGGGCACGGCGGGGCCGCGGGGTTCCCCCGAGCCTCCCGCCCGCTCCCCGCCCCGGCGTTGCCCGTAGCCGCCGGCTGAAGAAGGCATTTTGAGGGATGCTTTTGTGCGCGGCCGCGGGTAACGGCGGAGCTAGCGGCGGCTGGGGCGGGTCAGGTCGGGCGTCGCGGTCACCCTCAGCCCTCCCGGTGAGGCAGGCCGGGGGGCGATGCTGAATTAGGACGAGTGGAGCCAGCTCAGGGGAAGGCTTAGCAGTCGGTAGCCGGCCCTTGGGAGGGCGGGCTAGGCGGGCGGCTCCCCCATGGCGAGCAACCGGAGCATCGAGCTGGAGCACTTCGAGGAGCGGGACAAGAGGCAGCAGCGCTCCGGGCCCCGCCGCGGCGGCGGCAGCGGCTCCGGTGGGGGGGGCGCGGGCCCGCGGGGTAACGGGCTGATCCCCAGCCCAGCCCACAGCGCACACTGCAGCCTCTACCGGACGCGGACCCTGCAGGCCCTCAGCTCGGAGAAGAAGGCCAGGAAAGCCCGTTTCTACCGCAACGGGGACAGGTACTTCAAGGGCTTGGTGTACGCCATCTCCACCGACCGCTTCCGCTCCTTCGATGCTCTCCTGGTCGAGCTCACCCGGTCCCTGTCGGACAACGTCAACCTGCCTCAGGGGGTCCGCACCATCTACACCATCGACGGCAGCAAGAAGCTCACCAGCCTGGACGAGCTGGTGGAAGGTGAGGGAAGGGGGGTGTCTCCAGTGGGGCCACGGGCGAGCAGGTGGGCTCCTGCAATGGCACATTGAGGTCCTGTGAGGTGAGGGAAGGGGGGTGTCTCCAGTGGGGCCCCAGGCGAGCGGGTGGGCTCCTGCAATGGCACCTTGAGGTCCTGTGAGAGGTGGCACCGGGCCTGGTGGTGAGCTGCAGGCTCTGCCAGGGGTGGGCTTTCCTCTCCCTACCCTGGTCAAAGCCAAGAGAGGTGGCTTTGCTGAAAATCTGCAGCCACAGAGCCCCTGAGGGCAGGTGGGCCGGAGTTACCCTCTGCTGTGAGGTGCAGACACCAAGAAAAAAAGCCCCAGTGCTGTGAAAAGTCCGTATTCATAGAAGGAATTATCTACCTTGTTTGATTTCCAAAAGCGTTTTCCGAATTGTCCCTGAGTAGCTTTTGATAAGGGGACTTAGCTGCTAAGGTTATGTAGACCTTGCAAATCTGAGCAGAGCAGCGCTGGTTGAAACGGGCCTAGAAGTGCTTTTATTTTTTTCTGAATGAAATGTGTGCCTCTTTGTAGGGAATGGTAATTACCAGAGCAAGGAGCAGATTTCCCCCGTGTTCTCTCATGGTGTCTTAAATGCGGTTTAAGCTCAGCATTACCTGAATCGGCCTTTCAGATGCATTGGTGTTGTTGTGGGATGCTGTGAGGTTGCTAATCAGTTTGTACTTAATGCCTCCCCTCAGGTATCTACCTGGTATCAACCACTTCAGTCTTCTACCAGGTGACTCTATATGCCAGCTGTAGCTGATTTGCATTAATAAAGAAGTACCATTTGCAGGTTTTCTAGTGCCCCCTCCTTTTTAGGCTTTCAGTTGTGTGTCCTTTAAGCTTTGATTAGGAGACTCCCCTTTTCATAGCGATGATGAATTGCCAGCTGGAGAATTTGATGAGGAAGGAAGCTTGAAGACCTCTATAACCCATCAGTAAAGGCACTGGTCGTTAGGATCCAGCAACTCCAAAACATGCAAGAGGAAGCCGAGAGGCTACAGCATTTGCTGCATCAAGGAGGTCTTACAAAAATGCTTGAAAGTGCACTTTGTAATAGTAGCACAGTGCCTGAGGACTTTCCCCATCATATGATCTACCATAAAGCTGTTCCGCAGTCAAAACAGGGAAAATGTGAAATGATTGCTGAGTGAAATGCTGACTGTGGCAATAAAATAAATGTGAAATCAACCAAAAACTTTTTCATGATTTGGTGATTAGTTTAGAGGTAGATTTAAAAAAAAAAAGAGATGCTGGCATGGGCATGGTAGGGAGAGGAGATGAAGCAAAAATTGGATAAACTAATGATTACTTAGGGTGACTTTTGAAGTGTTTCAGAAGGAATGATCTTAAGCTTTTATGGCTTAACATAAAGACAAAATGACTTGCTGGACTACAGCATAAATGCAGTGTATCCTCTCACAACTCTGTCTACATTAATAACTGAAAGCAGAAACTTCCTGTCTCTTCAAACGCTCATTGAAAGAGTGACCTTTGTCATTATTCATCACTGGAAAAATAAAGCAAAACAAATGTCACAATTTAAATGCCACTTCTGTGCTTTCTCAGTAAAATAAAAGGGGAAAAAGATTGTCCCAATTACTTTGTCATCTATCCATGACCAGTACAACTCTCAGGAATCTTAAGAAAATCCTGTAGCATTGTAATTGGATTAGTATGTTCTCCAATTAGCATGCCAAAAACTTTACCAGTGTAAGTCTAATCACCATACAGAGAAAGGAGAGCATATGCAGGGTTGGGAAGGAAGCACTAAGTAGTGAATCCATCATTCCTTGAAATTGTCTGAGCTCTTTGCCAGCTGTTTTGTTCTTGAGATGTTGGAAGACCATCTGATTTAGTTGTATTTTCTTCATTTCTTGTAGTTCCAGCACAGCAAGCCTGAACTTCTGATCTAGAATAGTACTTGAATGTTGGTGATACCCTAACACTTGAACTGCAGTAGTACCAAAAGCGGTTTGGAATGGTGGTGTATTGCTTTTAAACTTTCAGAAAGGGAAATAAAATGAAGGTAATGATGTGCATGCCAGCTACAGGCTGAACACCAGACTGAAGGTGGCTACTCCATGCGATACCTAATTGACTAGCCTGTTTGCACACCAGCAGTGGTGGGGTTGAACTGGTATGTGGAATCCCAGCAGTTCAGGCTCAGTAGTGGCAGCTCTATGAAGTGAGCAGGTGAGTGCTCAGCCATCCTTGCCGAGCAGCAAGATCTGCATTAAACCTCCCTCAACTCGAGCCTGTGTGAGTAGCTCTTAGACATTGATGCGCCCCCAGCGCAGGCGAGTTCCTTAAGGCCCGTTTACTGTATACCAGGTTAATAATCTGGGATATAAAAGCTGGTCCAAACTAGCTGAATTGAGTCACTGATGAATGTGTTTTGGAGTTTGGCTATACTTGGCAATCTGTTTTACTGTTTATCATTTTAAGAGGAAAATAGCTGATATACGGTCATACTGCGGATTTCAAATACTACTGTTACAGGTTGAGTCAGTTAAAAATATGACCAGATCATGCTTATTAGTCAAAAATTAACAAGTTCCATTTTAAGCATGTTGCTTTTCTTAACTGGGTATGACAGTCAAAAAAAAGTGTGCTCTGCTTGACCAGCCTTAGGCAAATATCATTTATGTTCCCAGCCCCTGTGGGTTGGGGAACATTATGGCTTATGACTTTGAGAGTTTTCATTGCTTTCTTAGAATGAGAGGAGTGAAAAATTTTGTTGTCTGCTCCTGATTTTGTTTGAGCAGACAAATCCAGAGAGGGAATGGGGGCTGGGAATGTTATGACTTTCTTATACTTTCTTCTTTCAACCTTACTGTCAGACAATACAGCAATTTTTACTTTTGAATAGGAGATTCTATGCGTAATTTCATATTTTCCCTTCAACAGCAATAATAGTTTCATTATTAATCTCTACCAAAGTTAACCAATTAAGTGTTTGTCTAAATCCTTCCGTTTTCTTTAAAAAAATGTAAGCTTCCTAAAGCATGACACAATGGTAACAGTAAGAACTGTGCAGTTCTTTAGTGCTGAGGTTTGTGTTTTACGTTGATGTCAGTCATGCTCTGTCTTGCTATCCTGTGCTATCCTGTGCTATCCTGGTCTTGGTAGTGAAAGACATGGAGAATCCTGTTTGTTAAGGTCTGCTGCAAAGTTGGGAGACATTGTTGGATTTTGGAAGGGGAAACCAAGTGTAGACTCTATTCCTGACAGGAGAAGTTAGGTTGATTTGGCACGTGATAGGGAATTTTTCCGGTTCCCTAGGTAGGAAGCATTGCTAAGAGTCTTTTGTTCTTTCAACTATGAAGCTTAATGAATACAGTCCTTTATAAAATGTCAGTGGTTGTCAACAAGCACCAGTAGGGAAGTCTTTGGGCAGGAGGTGGGAAAGTACATACTGCATGTACAGGACAATATCTGCTTTAAAGAC